CACTTAAATAAGCCAGTTCCCAAAAGACAAGTATCATATCTTTCCCCTAATTTGTGGAAACTAATATACAGTACAAAAATGTAATGCGTATGAGCAACTTTGACGTTTTTGAGATTTAATTATTGCTTATAGCCCTTGTCTATATTCTTGAGGAACAGTGTTTTTTCTAACTACTACTTGTTGAATTCCTTATTTAGTCCAGGGTTAAGCTTGTGATTTTGAAGTAAATTGAAAGTATTCCATTATAAAAATTAAAAGAAAAATGAGAAAGAAAGGAGGAGGGAGGGTGGGAAGGAGGGATGGGTGAGAAGTTTCACTGTGGTCTTAAAACTGTATATATGAAATATCTAAAACCTGTTCCTCTTACATATATATAAAATAGCCAAAAAATACTGAGATGTTTTTTGTGCTGTCTTGTTGAAACATGGCCAAAAATTTTAATTTTTTACTTTTCCTCAGAGAAGAAGGATTGTGCTATTTGGATCCTAGAACATCTGACACCTTAGGCCTGTGATAACACACATTCTCACTGGTGGAAGATGAGTCGATACTTCAACATCAAAGGTTTCTTTGTGGCGGGGACTAAACATCCACACACGACAGAAGCCAGCACAGGAGAGCTGCAGCAGGGCTGGGAGCAAAGGGCGAACAGGCTTTTATGCTCTCATTGCCAAGCCTGCGTACCCAGACACATACACTTCACAAACACTGGCTAGCATCCCATTGTAGAAGCTGCAGAAATGAGTACACTCCTAAGGGGTGGTGAACTAGCAGTTAGTCAAAAAAAAAAAAGTATGGCATTACAGAAAGCATAGTCAACAGCATTTCTCTCCCACACAACTTTGTTTCAGCAGTGAAGTTATACTATTTTCTATTGAGGCATTTTTCAACAAATCTTATACAATTTTATCCTAGGAGCTGTTTTTATTTTTCTCATGAAACAACATTTATGGGGTGTGTGTGTGTGTGTGTGTGTGTGCGCGTGTGTGTGTTGGCAAGTGCTGGGTATCTGCAAAGGGCCTCCAGTGGTACTCATGTTTTGGAGTTTCAGAGGAGTGGGGACTCAGTGGGCAAGACAGAGAGGAGAGCTCAGAAATGAACTGTTCTCTAAACATAGGCAGTGTTCAAGTAAGTCTTTCTGAGTTTCTATTAAATGCAGCATCCAACTTTCTCTAAGAAAGTCACACCTTAGGTAAAGGAGTTTCTGGTTTTGCCTCAGCACTTTGGTAAAAACTGCCAACACCCCTTGTTCTTTTCATGTTTGTACAGAAGGATGTTCTTTCGATTCAAGAATCAATATCCTGAGTTAATGAACATGTACTGTAAATATTGAAGGTTTTCATGAGTGTTTTCACTTTTAAAGATTTTAAGTCATTTATGTAAATAAGTTTGTTTTGCTGTTCTTGTTTTCAAAATCACCTTAAAAATGATTAGTCTAGGTCAGAGACAGCATCCATAAATTGCTCTACTTGGAAGATAAATATGTCAGATCCCAATCAGCCAGCCATCTCTGTCTTGATCATCCTGAGAGAGGCTCCCCGGCATGCAAGTGTCATTTCTTCTGGTTCAGCCACCTGAGCATGGGACCCTCAGGACTACATAAAAATGTGTGCCATCTATTAATTGCGCAAGAGAGAAAAACAGGAAGGATAACGACATTTCAATGGTGAAAGGCAGGTGAGATGCAGGCCCTTTGGAAAGCGTCATCCTGTTTCATAGCACAGTGGGAGCATTTCCCTCTTTCTTGTCTACTAGTAATGTGAAGTGGTGGCACACAGGATGAATTCAATTACTAGAGAGAAAGTAAGGAATCCGAGACTCTCTCAGCTGTGAAATTTCATTCTCATTTCTTTCTTTTTCAAACTTCTCAAAAATGAGGTGACTTTTCTTGTCTTCATTTCTTGAAGTCCTACTCATTTTTTTCAACACTCTGCAAACTGGCCTTTGTACTTATTATTCCATGAAAAATGTGCTGGCAGAGGTCATCAGTTACATCCCACCTGCCAAGTTCAATGGCAGATGTTATGCTACTGGATTATCCATATCACTTTCCTGTGTGAGCCTGCCCATTCCCAAATTCAACAACTGTCTACATGATAGTGGCTTGCCATCACTTCTGTAGCTGCCATATCAGATTGGGTATTTCTGTCTACATTTCCCACAGAAATTTGAAAGTCAACTAGCGAAAAACAATCTCATCATTCATGACACTGAACAGCAGAAACCTGTTCTTGCCGTTCCTGGAGTACTGAGTTTGGGGCAGTATGCTTATTAAAAAACTCTGCAGGTGATTCTGATACACAGCTAAAGGCAAGAGGACTCAGCAGGAGGACAATGAACTTTATGTGACTTCTTTCAGAACCTCTAGTGCTTCAGGAAATTCTGATCTGTTTCAAAGACTTTTACTAGGGATAGAAGCAAGAATTCTGTCCGGGGCTTCAGCACTGCCTGTGCTGCCTCTGGTTGCCTAGATATGGGTAGGTGAGAATCCACACACCTGCTGGAGACCTGGAAATGTGACATTAGTGAGTATGACACTTATTAGGTCAAGAGTATTCTGGCATTGTTAGTGCCACTGGGTGCTGGTGATCACCTGCATATACTGCTCAAAAGTGACGGTGCCCATCTGCTCCTCATCCACAGCCTTGAACCTCTGCAGGGTCTCCAGGAGCTCTTCTTCCAGAGGGATGGGCCAAGGCAATGCGGTTACTAACAGGAATTTCCTCCAGTCCACAAACTCTGAGTTTACTATCAACAAGTATGTCAACTCCTGTAACTAGAAGAAGATAGGAAGTATCACTGCAATATTTGCGTAATTCTATCTTGAAATTCTAACTGCTCAGGCTTTCATGGCAAGGTTCATATAAAAGAAGCAGGATTCTACACTGGCAAATAGAGCCAGTTCTGACATCTGTTCTTTTATTCCTTTGTTCTACCAATCCATACAAGAGAGTACTTAGAAAGTGTTGCATTGTTTTGCAACCTTGACATCTGTGTTTTGCTTGCTGTCACACAGCTAACTTACACTTGGGACTCCACGTCACCTAAAGATTTATTTTATTTATTTGAAAGGCAGTGACAGAGAGAGAGAGGGAGGGAAAGAGAGAGAAAAATCTCCCATCTGCTTGTTCACTCCTCAAATGGCCATAACAGCCAGGGCTTGGCCAGGCCCGAGCCAGGAGTCAGGGACTCCATCAGGGTCTCCCACAAGGGTGGCAGGGGCCCAAGCACTTGGGTCATCTTCCACTGCTTTCCCAGGTGTATTACCAAGGAGCTGGACAGGAAGTAGAACAGTTGGGACAGGAACTGTGCCCATATTGGATTCTGGGGTCACACATGCTGGTTTAACTTGCTAGTCCACATGCTGGCCCCAATATAAAATAAATGGGACCAGCGCCGTGGCTCACCTGGCTAATCCTCCACCTGCAGTGCTGGCATCCTATATGGGCTCCGGGTTCTAGTCCCGGCTGCTCCTCTTCCATTCCAGCTCTCTGCTGTGGCCTGGGAAGACAGTGGAGGATGGCCCAAGTGATAAGGCGCCTGTACCTGCATGGGAGACCAGGAGGAAGCACCTGGCTCCTGGCTTCAGATTGTCCCAGTGTGCCGCGCGCCGGCCATAGTGGCCATTTTGGGGGTGAACCAACGGCAGGAAGACCTTTCTGTCTCTCTCACTGTCTAACTCTACCTGTCAAAATAAGTAATAAAAAATAAGTAAAGATTCTAGCTGTGCCTATGCAAGGGCTCTACAGCCCATAAAGGAAATGCTCTTTAGCTATTTTGTTTCATGACAGATTCTTAAAGACAAGATTATGATAAAAAGCAAATGCTGTCAGAATCATCTATTAGTACTTGCCTGCTAATGAGAGATGAAACTCACCTGTTGAGCCTCATGGTCTAGAGTGTTTCATTGACTTCAAATTATCATCATTCTTCAAATGCTGAGCAAGGACATACTATTTTTAAATTTGAAGTTCATTTATTTGTTCATTCATTAAGACATCATAGATCGCCTACTAACTCTCAGACACTATGCTTGTATTGGTTATTTGATTCATTGATTAAAATAAGAATGCTTAAATCTTTGAAACTCAAACAAAATGAAACCTTACTTCAGGCTGGGTGAGGTGCATCCAGCTACTAGGGAAGTTGTTTGTTCCAAGGTTCAAGGTCATCAAATCAAGCAGAATGTCAGTAAATGCTTTACTTCCTATTATGCCTACAATATAATAAAAAATACTTTATCATTTATATTATGTTTCAGTGCTTTTCTTTTCTTTGGCTAAAATAGAAGAAATGACAGATACTTTATAGTTAAGTTATTCATATAATTTAAAACTGTAACCTTTACATAAATAGAAGTAATTTTGAAAATATGAAAAAATAATTTTCCTAAGTTCTCTTATTATTTTTCCGTTGAGAATCAGAATATATTTTATTGCTGAGTAATAATTCATTCTAGATTTGGAAATATCCTGAGATTACATACTTTTTAGTTTGAAATTTTCTTTCATATTTTATTATTAATAGATTTAATTTTAAAAATATTATTCTAAGGTTTCCTTTATGCAGTAGGGCACAAGACTAAAATATTTTAGTAAGTACTTATATGAGATTAAAGGTGTTTCAAATGCATGCAGCTCACCACTGTAATCAAAGTAACACATTTACCCTTGTCTTGCATTTTAGATCAGAATAAATTTTTTATTGTAAGTATGGGGGTGTTTGAATTGTTAAATTATGGAGTTTAAAATACTAATTAAATAATTTAGTTGGCTCAAGATTTCCAAGTATTTCCTAGGAGATCACTAAACTTTAAAAGTTTTGCTGTTATGTACAATAATCTGCTTTTCCTTGTCTAAAAGAGGTGTCTACTTTGTTTCTCATTTCAATAGCATGCACATGCATTAAAAAAAATAGAAAAACAACATAAATGAATCTTTTTAAAAAAAAAATCTGGCTAGCTCACACAGTAGCAGTACCTTCTAGTGCCAGAAGAGACTCCTAGTGGGTATCCAAGTATCTTTCAGGTCCAGAGTACATAGCTATTCTTCTTTGTTTTGGAAAAAAGAGTGAAACACAGAGGCAGCATCTCAAAGTTTTCTTTCTATATTGAAGTTTTCAGTATTTCTGAAATATCATTTTATTTCTTCTAACCTCTAGGGAAATGTAATAACCCCTTTAAAAGGCCACTGGTTCAAACCAAATATACAATTTTGACAGATGGAAAAAGTACTTTTCTGGGAACAAGAGCAAAAACTTTCTTTTATGTAATTGTCCACCCAGCAGGTTGTTCACAAATACATTTCATATCCTTCTTAATTAAACCCGAGTATCCAAGTCTACAGGGATGAGAACATTTTCCCAGGTAGCAGGATTTTCAGTAAACTGAGCTTTGTATGATACTATGGTGATTTTTAGATAAGTTATAAATAATCTATCAACTTTCTCAAGATGAAACCATAAATAAAACCTATTGAAACCATGAAGATACTCAAAATATTTAAAAATTCTGGGAGATGTACAATATATTTTCACTATCTAATCTCTATGGTACAAAATAAAGCATAAGACAATGGTTTAAGTTTCTACAGAATTATTTATCTGGGGATCTTTGTGTGAACATTTTTAAACATATGATCTTTTGACATATTTCTTAGGCATGGGGTGATACTATATTCATATTTAATGCAATAACATAAGTAGACTCACTTAAGAATTTTGTTCATGAGTTTAAAAATAAGCTCTTAATTTGGCTCTTATTATTTACCTGGTGCAACTCTCATTTGGAACTATATAGAAAGAACAGTTAACTGTGTGTTAGGGGGATCTCAGAACATAATCATAATCCGGTCATCCTTAGCAATAATTATAGAAAGAAGACATAGAAATAACATAATGTTTGGAAGCACACATTTCCATCCAAAGAATACCAAAGAACTGTGAATAATGAAGTAGCATTAAGAAGTCCCAGGAAAACCCATCAGTGTATTTTTATTTCGTATGTTTGGAAGTTGTCAAGTGCCATTTGTGTTTGATATGAAGAATGGCTACTGTTTTACTTTTCAATTTCAGGGTTTTGAAATTTTTTTTGCTATGATCAATAGTGAAGTCAAAGTCACAGTATTAATCACTTTCACAAGGGCTTTCTGAGTCTGAGGAGCAATCTGAATTAGGTCCTGTGTCACCAGCTGAAGACAGCATTCTTGTATTCCACAAATGGATAGCTTTCCTAGGGTCAAAATTATTAATGTCTGGAGAGTTCAGCTGAATGATCAGGGTATCCGTGATGCTTTCAGATGTGACTTTAGCATGCGTGTGTGACGTGATGCGTTTCATCTGACTAAAGCCACGTTCTGCTTCAGCTGAACTTGCTGGGAGGGTCAGCACTAGGTCAACAAGCCTCAGAATATTTGGATACTTGTGTAAGTAAATGGAATTCACAAAATCCCAGGTCAGTTTTTGAATGTTCTGAAATCTAAGAGAAAGGATAAAAAAAAAATGTGAGAAAATTGAGGTGCCTGCTTCACTCAAATATCTGTAAATATGACTCGTTTCCTCTGCTTGCTTTCTTGCTTACCTGGCATAAATCTCTAATTTCAACATGCTCCACTCGGTGTCCACTTCATCAATTTTCACGCTGGCGGCTTCTAATACTGGTTCGTAATGTGAAGTCAGGATGGAGACCTCTTTCTCTCCAAATTCTATCATCAAAGTACCAGAAAAACACAGATACTAGTCTCACTTAGGAAAGACACTCACACGATCAAAGAACGGTAGGTTCCGAGTCAGCACGCAAAGGTTACCTTGATTTATCCTTGTGGGCCACAATTTAAAGCTTACGATCATGGTTGCCCTCACCACATCTTGGCTGGCATCTCTGAAGCAGCCTTGAAGCCTCTTGATAAGATGTGTTAAAACCACGTTTCTCACAGCAGAGATGTTTTCTGTTCCCCTGAGGCGGCTACCGTGAAAGTGTGTGACTGCATCCACCTTGCATTCTTTTGGGCCTGGCCTAGGGAGAAAAATAAATAAATAAATAAACTTGCCCTAGTAAATTACACAAGAAAGCACCTGGCACATAGTTTCCCACGTCAAGCTGTCGGCCCCCTCACCTTGTCTGATACATTTGGAGCATTTTCAGTGTGGACTCCATGGTGGCGGATATGTCAGCAATTGAGGAATTTCTGCTCTGACTGACGCGGGACAGAATGCTGAGGACGTTAACGACATCCACTAAGAAATGGGCAAACTTGACAATGCTGTCTTGGAGCAGCAACTCAAGCAGGTCTTTGGCTTTCTGTTGGCTGGTGTCACTTCTTTCTTCACCTTCCTGTAACACAAGTTAGGAAGTTTTATTTCTTGAAATTTTTATTTCAAGGAGCTCAGTAAAAGTATTTTCTATTATTCTGAAAAAGTAAAGGGGTATGGAATTTCAAAATTACTTACAGAATGCAATTGGTGGATAATTGCAGGATATCCCTTGAGAAAGTTCTGGAGGGCTGTCTGTAATCCATTAAGCCACCTCCTACCTTCTATTCGAGAAGGTATTGTGGGTCGAAGGTGAAGGTCTTTGAAGGCAGCTATCAGAGAACTCTTTCGAAGAGGAGAAGTGTGATAGAAGTGATAAATGCTGCGAAGAAGCTCTCTGACACTGTCGTACAGAGGAATGCTCTGGAACACTGCCTTGTAGGATAGTTCAAGGTGATGGGCAAAGCAATAAACAGTCTGCACACATGGCTGGATTTCTCTTAAAAGCAAGGTCACCTCAGTTTTCTCTCCTTCTATGTCAGGAGGACCATCACTTCCAAAACCAACCAGTTTCGTTGCCCAATCTTGGCTTGATAGCCTAAGTTGCAGATTTATCTCTAGAGTTTTCTCGATGGCATTTTTAATTGCCAGGGGATCTTTCCTTTCTATTGTCTGTGCCCCAACAATTTGACAATGCACTTTTCCTGCATGTGCAAACTGTACATAAACAAGTTTGACTTCCTTGATTAAACTGTCTGTGATTCCATCACTGATGACAGAGAAAAATTTACTTTTTTCGAGCTTCTCTCTTAGACTTTTCCGCTCTACTTCAGCAATGAAATATGTAAAGATTTGTGCTGACTTGTTAGTTCTGAATACTGGGCCAATATCAACACCCTTCATGTCATCCAACTTGCACATCCAGATAAAATCTTTGAGGGGACGTCCAGTCTTGGCAATAGCATGGCATGATCTGAATAAATTCTCTACTCTCCCAAGAGTTACTTTGCTCATGGTCCTCATCATTAGTTCTGTGGTGGCTCTGTTCTCTGAAGAACCACTTGTTGCTTCCATTAATAAAGCCTTGGCATGAGCCTCACTGAGATGATGTGCATTGAGAAATTCAGTCCTAAAGTTGTCTGTGCCATAAAAAAAACTCATTTGACTTCCGCCTGACTTCACTCCATGCTTACGACACAGGGCACAGAACATAAGATTTAACAAGTCATCATAGACAAGCCAAGGGTATTTTTTTAACCAAATTTTCAAAAACTGATTGTATCTCATTGGAAAGTAGTGGCTGATTTTCTGTGGCCTTTTCTGCTGTTTGGTGACTTGACTCACAGCATCCGAAGGATCCTTGCCTTTAAAATAACTCCATGTTGTTATTTTAAGTCATCACAAAGCCTACCCTAAGTTGCACCTAATCTCTGCCCCTACATTTGCTTATTATTTATGGAAAAATTATATTGCATGCTAATTTCTTATCAGGCATTCTTACAAATCCTTTAACTGGCTTAAATCATTTCATCCTCACATTTCATTACTCCTGTTTTATAGTTAAGACAATGGACCAACTATTATTGTTGCCATTTTATAGATAAGAAAATCAGGGCACAAAGAGGCTAATTAATTATTCCAGTGTTGCAGTATTGTAAGTGGTGGAGCTGGGATTCACTTGTAGGCAGAATCAATACACTCGTGTTTGCACTTGACTATTACAAGGTTTTTTTGGTTTATTTTTTGTGCATAAAGGGTGATACAATCTTCACTCTAAAACCCATTTCTTCGTGTACAAAAGGGACACCTACATATGTATATGTATAAATATATATAATTCCTCTTACAAATTCTTTAACAATACTAATAATTCAATTATGTATACTTTTCAACTTATGATAGCATTACACTTAATAAACCCATCATAAATAGAAAATATTGTAAGTTGAAAATACACCTAATCTACCAAGTATCGTAGCTTAGCTGCAAGCAGATTGTAGTGTTGGTTATGCACTCTCAAGCTCAGTTGGCTGCATCATGAACAAAGTAAAAATTTAAAATGTGAAGTTTGTGGTTTACTCAATGCGTATTATTCTCATGCTACTGTAAAGTTGAAAAATGCTAAATAGGACCATCGTAAGTTGGGAACAGTATGTATACTGTCCTATTTCTATCATAAGAGAGGGCTTTGGACAATTCATAGGAAGATAGAATTGAAAGGGAAGTTTATTTTGGTGTAAAATATTTTGGTGTGAAATAGTTTAATATTTGTGTATGGTTTTTTCATAGCACAAACTTACTATGAGCCATTTGAAAACCCTTTGCATAATGAAAAATTTGAGTGTTATGTGATATTATACTAAAATATTTTTCATGCTGACATACTCTTGATGTCTTTTCTTTTGTCCAATGTTCAAGGTTTTGATTCTCCAATTGGATTTAAACTCTCCTGACCAGCACTGTATCTACTTCTTTACTCCCTAGTATCTAGCTAACAACTAAGCACTTAGTAGATGCTTAAGCAAATATATCTCCTTTCCTAATTAATTTACATGATCTCATAACTCTTAACCTCTTTTAATTGAAAATCTTTGACATTAGTTGATATGACTGTGCCTTTTAAACTTTATTTGCTTCTCCTTTTTAAATTTATTTGTATGTATATCATAAATACAACATTTGGAAAATAGTAATTCTTCCCGCCATACCTGCCCACCCACCCACTCTCCCATCCCTCTTCCTATCCCTCTCCTGTTTAATCCATGAAAGAAAAAGAAAGAAAGAAAAAAAATGAAATGAAAAAAGTAAGAAAACTGTTTCTCAAAAATACAGACAAGGGCTGTTCAAAATCATTGTTTCTCAAAGATGTTTTCATTTTTTCTCCCCTTCCTCTTTTCCCTTCCTTCCTCCCCCTTCTTTCCTTTTAGATACTTATCTTTAAAGAACAATCCAAGAATGATACATCTTTTTGCAAGCTGTTAGGCATAACTGTAACTTATGAGACATAGTAATATCCTCCACTTAATACACTAAAAGGAAATGATTCTTGAGAACAAGTTTTACTATTGAATCTCATTATACAACTCTTTGGGTACAGAGGTCCTTGTATGGGAAGTTAATGCACGGTGACTCTTATTTTTATTTAACAATTAACATTCTTATGTATGATGTCAGTGATCACCCAAGGCTCTTGACATGAGTTGCCTAGGCTATGGAAGCCTTTTGGATCCTTAAACTCCATCAGTATTTAGACAAGGCCATAAGCAAAGTAGAAGTTTAGTCCTCCCTTCAGAAAAAAGTACCTCCTTCTTTGGTGGCTGCATTTTTCCACTGGGGTTTCACCCACAGGGATATTTCATGTAGAGCATTTTTTACCTGAGTGTCTTGTCTTTCCATGCCTGAAATGCTCCCCTGGGCTTTTCAGTCAGATCAGAACACCTTAAGGGCTGATTCTGAGGTCAGAATGCTATTTAAAGTAATTGTCATTCTATGAGTCCACTGTACGGACTGCTTCCCATGTTGGGGCATTCACTTCTTTTTAATTCTATTATTATTTCCAGATACTTAGTCCTATTTATATGATCACTTTAACACTTGTGGTAAAATGATCTCCTTTCTTTTTGGCCTTTTCATCAGCCTCTTTGCAGTTATTAAACAAACCCCTACTTTTTCAAATTCTAAATATAACTGTATTTCATTTAAAATTAGTCTTTGTGTAGTTGACAGCTACTGCTTTCATTTACTTACTTTAGCACTGGGCTACCTGTATGGCTTTCTGAGTTAACCTGAAACAACATGCCTGTACTTGGCTATACATGTGTAAATTTCAGCCAATAACTAATGAATTCAAAATTCAAATGAATGAGAAAAGAAGTTCTTGCTATTAAAGAAAGGGGCTCTAACTTTCACTAAAGATTCTTTTTTGTTCTTTTTTTAAGATAACTTTTTTATTTATAAAACAGAACAGATTTCATATATACAACCTTAAGGATTTAGCTAACTCTTATGTTTTTAGTTTTATGGGCAGATTTTCCAGAAGATGTTATCGTGAATTCTAAGCATAATGTAAGTGCTAACGTAAGTTCTCTGGCTTCATGAAAATATGCTTCATGCTAAAGATATATTTGAAACTCTGCCCACAGTCGGTTTTACCAGGTTCAAAGAATTCTAAATTCACTACTGCATTTCTGTGATCTGAATCTAATCTTGTAGAAGAAGTTTACCCACTGAGAGAGCCACAGGACATCTGGGAGCCATACTCTTCCTCTTCACTGTAATCCCTACATTTTGCCAACCAATGAGATGTTCCTATTGATAACTTCCATTCTTCTGTATCGCCCCCTTTTCTAAGAAATCTTTCAATATTTCTTGATTTAGATAAATGCCAAACCAAGCAATTTTATACACTGTATCACATTTAATAATTTTCTCAGAGAAACTAAGCCTGGGGAACTCCACAGAACTTTCTAGTTATGCCTTTTAGGAAACAGTCTCAGTACTTTCTCCTGTCTCTTGATTCCTTAGGATTTCGTAGAGAGACTGAGAGCATCTACTGCTCTCCTCGAAGAATCTCTTCCTCTCAATGGATTCTCCACTGTCAGTCGGCTCCGAACGCTTTAGATAATCCTCTCCTATCTGTCCTGTACAGGAGCTCTTTGTGACCTTGCCTCCTGTCCCTTGTTCCAGGTAGTCTGGTGCGCCTCAATATGTACTGCAGCTTCAGAAATCTCCTTGTCCGCTCGATTCCTTTTTGCCTGGAATACTCCTCCTCTGCTTCTCTTCTTGGAAGCTTCAGTTTCCAAAGCCTCTGAGCTAACCCCTATATGACCCCAAAGGCGGCAATAGCTACTTCTTCCTTTGAGTGTCCATGGAAAACCTGTGGCTGAATGACTGAACTTAGTCATTTGGCTTAAAAGTTTTGGATGTGTACCTCTCTCTCTCGCTCACTCTCTCTCTGAGATCAGTCATTAAATCTTGGGGTCTTCAAGAGGTGTGTAAAAGGAAGGGCCTTTGTCAATTATAGGTCTCAGACAAATAAATGCTGCCTATTTTGGAGGATGTAAATGTGTATAATTTATGGGACTGTGATTTCTCAAGATAGCTCCATGGCAGACATCCAAATTGCTATGACTCAAATCTTACAGGAATTACACGCAGCACCAACAGGCTTACAAGGAAAAGGAGTTCTTATGATTTAAGTGGGGACAGAGGAACACTGGTAAAGTGTTCTAGTTTCAATAGACTACAAATTGTTTCCGTTGCAGAAAGACTGTCTTCCTGATGTACTTGGTGCTTGATGGTTAGAGACAAGATGTACCTATTCAGAGCTTAGTGCAGTACACAAAATGGATGTTTTTGTTAGGGGTGCTGATAGTACCCAGATGTCATATTACTTTATGGTTTAATTCTACCATCTAATGTAAAGTTTTTCTGGAAGCATATTGGGGTAAAGCAGGTACCTATTAGAGTATTTATACCTTCAGAGTCCCAAGCTAACTTTTTGAAAGATTTATTTACTTATTTTTGAGGCAGAGTTACAGACAGAGAGTGAGGTCTTCCATCCACTGGCTCACTTCCCAAATGGCTGCAATGGCCGGAACTGGGCCTATCTGAAGCCAGGAGCCAGAAGCCTCTTCTGGATCTCCCACATGGCTGCAGGGGTCCAAGCACTTGGGCTGTCTTCCACTGCTTTCCCAGGCCATTAGCTGGCACCTGGATTGGAAGAGGAGCAGTCAGGACACAAAGTGGTGCCTGTGTGGGATGCCGGCACTGCAGGTGGAGGCTTAACCTACTATGCTACAGTGCTCAACCCCAGGCTAACTTTTTATAATAAGAACAGTTTGTATCAATCTGCTTCAAAAGTTCAAGGGGAAAACAGAATTAAAAATGGGTTAATTTTGGTGGGAAAAATTTAAATCCATGCTTACTTTTTTCATAATACTCATTTCTCAAGAACATTTTGAAGATCTGTTTGATTGCATTTCAAAATATTTTGAACAAAAATAAACCGATTTTAATCCCACTTTCCTATAAACTTTGTGAACTATCCTCATATTAACTGCCTTAATAAGCATAACAACTTCACGAGCTAAGTGCCATTATCATCCTCTTTTTACAGGTGAGGAAAGCGTGGCAGAGAAGATTAAACAATTTACCCAAGTTCTAGTGACAGTCACTTGACAAAAGGTGGGTCTGAAAAAGAGCTGTCAGTCATCCAAGCATAGGCTGTAGTGGGTAAGAGGTGAGTCAACATAAGGCAATTGCTAACTTGAGGCCTGACACATAGTGACCACTCCAAATTGCCTGATTTTATAATTTAGAAAATATTCAGTAACTCTCACTCCACATTGGGAATATGCTCATGGGAATGACGGCTGGGACAGCTGCTGGAAAGTATGGTTTGCTGACTCTCTTGCTCAAGCTGCCCCTGTGATTCTACAGCATAGACTGTTTCCAGGAGGGAAGAAAATGCAGGCATGATGGATTGTCTCATTGCATTTCACATGATCTTGTCTGATTGTCATAGCAAAGTCTTTGTTTTTCCCTAGTATGTTTGTGACAATCTCAAGAATGGTATTTTATGACTAATCACTACCTTTACTAAAGGAAAATAATAATCAACATGGGTGGTAGAGTTCGATCAGAAAAGGGATACTGACTATAAACATTATAGTATATGATGCCTTTTCAAGTTTCAAGTAGGGTAACTAATATTCAGCAGAAAACTCCTTAAGCTTTAGTTCTTTCCATTTACATTACATTTATATTTATACTTGCTTTAATAAATGAAAACCCAATAGCCTCAATTTTATTTGTGTGGTATAATTAATAGTTGGAAAGTGTGATTTGCTAGCATAAATATTCTTTGTAAACTTCTAAAAATTTTATTGTGGGCTTAAACATAATGACTGGTATACGCAAACATGTGTGCTTTTTTCCTGGGGGGAAAATCCATCTATTCATTACCTTTTCATATATTTTAATGGACTTGAAAATAGCATATTAGATATTTTAGGTTACATGGGAATATATGAAATGGTTGAAGAAAATGTTTCATCTTTCCTGGCAAGGAAAGTTCAAGAAAGAAGTTCTGCAATCACATATTCAGAGATGTACCATGTCCGATCAGTTGCTCCATACTTTCAAGCTGTTATTATCTTAACGAACACTGTCTTGTGAAGCTGTAGAGTTCTAGTTCTACAGTGGGTATTATCATAAAAGATGTTTTCCCTTTCTTGGAAGGAATACAACAACAGCCTTAATTTAAAAGATGAATGTATGTGTTTCATTTATGGTCATAAACAACAGCTGCAGAACAGAATAAAAAGCCAGAAGATGATTCATAGGGATAGGAGGGGGGGTGAGTGGTAATTACAATATCAGTATTTGAGACTCGGCTTTGAGGATGTGAGTAGGAAAACCAATTCTCAATTTCCAATTGAGAAAATGGAATGATATTACTTTTCCTTCCTTGTATAATAGCAGCAAAAATAAGAACAATGACTATTACTACTGATAAAATACCCCATACTGTGATAAGTATTTTATATACACCTGAAAAGCAATATATGCAACATGTATTTTGTCGAATAGCATAAATGAGTTTAAACTGTTTGGTCATTGGAGCACATCTCACTCCAATCATCAGATTCTGTGGATTCCAGAATATTGCACAGAAGTGCACATTCTGGGACAGTGACAACTGTCCTTCCTTTGGGTTAGTTTCTCAGCTTGGGTGGACAGATACGTTTCTCCAGATAGGGAAGCCCCCTCTTCTACGTGCCTGTACTTCACGCAGCTGGACAGAGGAAAGCATAGCAGTCTCCTGCCCATCCCCTGACATCCATCATCCTACTCACGCCTCATCTCTAGCTCCCTCCCTCTTTTCTCCATCCCTTACTTTCTTCTCACTTCCTTCCTACTTCTACCATTGTCTGAAAAGTGTCCCGTTTTACCATAGTCTAAAAACAAGTAAATGTAGCTGTTGCTATCTTTTTTCGTCAGGGGTTTCTGGAGTTGATTGTCAAAGATACATATATGCTAAATTAGAGCTACTATTATTTATTTTTAAGCTTTAAAACATTTATTTGAGAGGTAGGGAGTCAAGCAGAGGAAGAGAGAAAGAGACAGGTAGACAGAGAGCTCTTATGTACTGGCTCATGCCCACATGCCCACACTGGCCACCAGGCTGAGCTGAGGCTACGGCCTGGTGTCTGGAACATGAACCAGGTCTTCCGCATGGGTGGCAGAATCCAATTACTTGAGCCATTATTGCCACCTCCCAATATCGCTTGCATTGGCAAGAAGCTGGTGTCAGTCAGGAGCTGGAACCTGGAATTGAACCTTAGCATTCTGATGTAAGACTTGAGGATTTTAACTGTCGTACTAGACACCCACTCCCTAAACTCTAGTTGAAATGTGGGCTCTGGTTTTGACATTCGATCTAAGAACTGCATTATGTTGGTCATCATTAAGAACAGGGTGCCCTCTGAAAGGGCTTATGAGTAACAGATACTTTTCAAAATCCAATTGTAACTCCTTACATGCCCTATAATCTAATAATTAGGTGATTTTTCTAGTGTAGGATTAAAGTAAATAGTATTTTGTCTTTAGATCTTCTCATATGTGTCTATTTTCTATGTAAAAGTAGCATAGAAAAAATGAAAAGTGAAAAGCAAAGGTGACTTCAAAGAGAGAACTGGGTAATTAAAGGACACTGTCAAGCTCACACAATGGAGAAGACAGACCATGCCTGACTGAGCTCTGGCAGGATTTCATGAGCCAGATTTAGGAGCCTGGAACTTTAGGACCTGCTGATGGCCATGTTTCCTTCATGCCTGAGTGCTGCCAACCTGAGTCCATGCCCATCCACAGCTATAGTGTGTGTGCACTTTTATCCTTGCAGGTGTAAAGTTCACTCAAGTGACTGGATGGGTTGACACATGTGAGCACAGGGATTCACTCAGGTACACACCTGCTTAGCATACTGGGCTTGGCCAGGAAGACTGCAGACTTAAATTCACGCTCTTGGGTGGATTTCTAAAAGTATTGGACTTTTTTTTTTTTTTAAGTGTACTTGTGATGCTATAAAATCTGTTGACTATTTTCTAAGGAAAAGTTGTGATTTCCTAATGAGTAGGATATATTGGAAGATGAAGTAAAGCTGTTTATGAGAGGTAACTTCAAGCAGTGAGAAGGGGCAATCACTTTAAGGCAAATTGCTCAGCGACTCTCTGATTTAGCATCCAGGCCTAAAAATGGAGATTATCATCCTCCATAATCTGTCTGAGTTACTTGGGCTCTCAACTGATGGAACCCAATGAAGAATAGCTGAATAATAATAAAGTTTATGCTATAGAGCAATAATGATAAAATATAAATTAATTAGTTTTTGTGTGCAGAAAATAACATGCACACACAGATGTGAACAAATTGACTTTAAAAAATGTTTATTTTCATCTACTTGAAAAGCAGAGTGATTGAGAGAGAGGAAAAGTCAGACAGAGATCAGTCTGTCTCCTACACACTGGTTCATTCCCCAAATGCCCTCAACAGCCAGGGCATGGAAAAATCCTTCTGGGTCTCCCACATGGCCCCCACCATTTGGGCCATCAGTTGCTTCCTCCCAGAATGTATCAGTAGGAATCTATACCCTAGATTAGAAGTGGAGTATCTGGGACTTGAAACAGCACTCTGAAATGGAATGTGAAAGTCCCAAGTGGCTGCTTAATCCTCTGAGCCACAATGCTTGTTCCTGAACAAATTAATTAATCCACTAAGTAAATATTTGTTAATATCTTATTTGGCTCTGCTCATGAAGGGGGAAAAGTAGATATAAAAGGGAAATCCTCTAGTCCCTGGCCTCCCCTCACACACCAGTGGGGAAACAAATATAATCTCACAATCTCAATACTAAACCTAAGCTAGAAATATGTACAAAAGCTGTCTACCAATGGCCAGGTGGGGTAATGCTCAGACTTAGCAACTTGCCAGCAAGGGATGGGGAGGAGAAGAGAGAAGAATTACTGAGAATCAGGATCAACACAAGCTCAAGTGTTAATCACTGTGGATCTCCTGCTTGGTTCATTTCAGACTGATATTGTATGAAGCAGATATTTGATAAACTATGAAAAAGCAACCCCATAGAGCTGATTCTATTCAAAGGCACGTGATTGTCATCCAGGTTAATCTTAACTTTTTTTGGTGTTCTTTTCATGACACTGATTTTTCCTACCTTTAGGCGCCATATCTAAGAACTGATCTCGAAGATTGTCGAGCTGCTCAATAGTCAGGGTGCCGTCTTCTTCCTTTTCTACAGGTGGAGGACGTTTCGGCAGGGGTGGATCTGGGAAGACTTTTATATCACCATTAATGAAGAAGTCTTCTTGGTTTAAGTAAAGTTCATTCTGGATTTTTGTAGCTGTTTCAATGTGATAGCGAGCTACTTCTGTTAATTTTTCTACACTGAAAATGTAAAACGAATAGAGTTACCTCCATTAAAGATACTACTAGATTAATAGTGCTTGCTTATAAGACACGTACTCAAAAATGAACGCATTACTTGGCTAAGATAGGTAATTCAATCTGAGTGTTGGAAAATTTTAATGTCTCTTCAAATCTATTTTATAAAAAAGCAAGGTATAAATTAGTAAATTTTAGAAACAAGCAACAATGCATGCTTATTACACAGTTAATAGTTGCCCATTAAATACAAAGCTAAACAAAAAGACTCCATTAAGTAAGGTTGTTACTAGTATCAGAACATGTTTTACTATTTAAACAAGATTATGTGAAGGGTTATATTCATTTTAAGTATGGAACACAATACTTGAGGGATCTTTAAAAAGTTCATGGAGGTGGAATTCAAAATAAGTTCATTTCGGTGCAAACATTTTTGAAATTCATATATGGTGCATGACTTTTTCATAATTCTCATTTTCCATGAACATTCTGAAGATACCTTGTATGGAAGAATGCCATGTAAAATATGACTGTTAGGAAAATACATTTATTCAGAATCAGGATAAATTATAATGTGAATCCAACTTGATAATGTGTTTTTGGAAAAGTGGCTTTTCTCTAACTTTACGAGGAGGAATTTGATGTTATCTCAGACATGGTTGTCAGAATAGCCTCTGGTGCATATAATCCACTGAAGTTGCTTTGCTATCTTCATGAAGAGTAAAAATTCCTAACGAGATCACATGGCCATAAGTGCACAATTTATGAGAGAACTGAGCAATCATGCTAGGACACTTTCTGGTCATGAGTCCTAGAGTAGGTTATTTAAGCTTTCTGAATTTTTAGCTTTGCAATGGAGTCAATAACACAACTCCTTACTTTGTGGTAGTTAACGTATAATCACATAGGACATGGACTTGAACTCTATTGGGGAGACAGTTAATATTCATGATTAAAGCTATTTTAAGGGCCAGAGAAGTTTCTTTGCATGAATGAATATGACATCATTGCATGGAAGAAAGTGCCTTGTCTGTATCTTAAATGAAATATTGAACATTATAGGAAATGCATATAGTCTAATTTTATATAAATCAGGAACACCAAAATTTTCTTACACTGAAAATTTAGGAAATAGTTGCTGTCTTTCAAAAGATGCTTTTGAGTTCAGCTCCAGAATGCTGTCTTTTTAAGTATCTATAGTTTATGCTTTAGAGTGTTCCTGTGTGGGGATGTGGGGGAAGGGTCAGAGGAGAAGGATGCTGGACAGCTACTAAGTTTACTGGAATGAGGGAGACAGGATTCCAAATGTGAATGGAGACCCAACCATAAACAGGCTATCAAAACAAGTGTGCGCCACCTAGTGGAAGGTTACTAAGTGTAACCTCAAGAATGGTAGGGGAACGGCCAGGGCAAATGGAAACAAGATTTGTTCAGACATCTGAGAGCTCTGCCACCTTCCACCCCTGATATCATATTTCTAGATTTTAGCTTCTTATGAACACAAAACACAGACCTTTGTATACATACACATTGAAATTGCAGGTTCAGAGGGCAGGGGTACATATAAGATAGACTTGTGAAATATAAGTGCATCTGATAAAACTATTATGCATTTACACTTGATGGCCACATGGGTGAAAGTCATAATCCTAAGAATAAGAAGTCTTCATTTGTAAGTAGCAAGCAAAGGAGAAAACTGGATATGACTTTTCTACGAGGCTGACGGTAACTGATTTGGTTCTCTACCCCGTAATATTATTTTAAGTACTACTGCAAGAAGTTTATCAGACTGAGATATGTGTTTGCATTTTTTAAAATTTATTTTTCACTCTGGAGCAATAGCACTACATAGCTATGCTGAAGACTTTAGAGTAGAACTTTCATTATGAGACAAGGATCAGATTAAACAAACCATAACCACTGTTTTTTAGATGGCAATTGCTTCTGAGAATGCTTGCCATTTGAATCCTATTTACATAGCAGCTTCTGAATTTTCCGTAGATGTTTATGGGACACTATAGTGCATCACAGAATCTAGATCAAGCGGAAAACTCTGAAATGGCTTGGTTCAAGTGTTTCCTTTTATGGATGAAGCTGGCGCCCAAAGCAATCAGGCATGCTGCTAATTTGTGGATACTGTGGAACTGTTGATCTCCTGGACAATCAAGTCTCCTGACTCAGATGAGGGCTATTTGTACTCTGTCAAGTTGCCTCTTTATGCCTTTTTGGGGAGAACTAAGAGGCTGAGATTCACTGCCTCTCACCAGTAATGAAAGCCTGATAAATCTCTGGAATGCAACAGAAAGGCTGAAGGAATCAGTCTAATTGATAAAATATTCCAGTGAATGGAGTCTTAATTTCCAATTAACTGGTTATGACTAACAACAAGTCTGGTGTCAGATGTGAAGAATATTTTAAAATATGCCGAAAATATTTTAAAATTTCTTCTAATTCTCATTGAGCAGTGTGAAAACTGAACTCATAAAAAAATATGCAAAAGTGAATTTTATTGTAGACCCCTCTGAAACATGATATACTTTTCTTGCTTGAAAAGTCAAAGGAAACTTGGTAAGTAAAGCTCACTTTTTGGGTTTATACCCAAGATTTCCCAAGAGGTCAATGCTTGTGTCTGTAAATGTTATTCGGATTTGTAAACACCTTAAGAATCTGCCAGTTTTGGTGCTCAGGATTTAACAAGGCACGTTTGTAAAAAGCCATGATATACTTTACCTGGACATTTCATTCAAATATCTCTCACCAAGCCATTTTTCCATGAGTTTATATATATCGACCACCTTCGTTATTAGGTCTTCAAGGACAGACAATGCTTTGGATTTTATCAATTCAAGTCGAAACTGTGTAGCTATCTCTATTTAAAAAGAAAAATAAGCATTTTGAAATGTGTTTCATGTATGCAGATTTTCTGACTGACGCAATTCGATTTTAAACCAACCATGTTTCAGTCTGAGAAAGCTTCCAGTGCACATGTGATACCTATACAGATGAGGCACCAGTGAAGCAAGATGTCATGTGCTGTGAAGTTATTTGAGAAATGCTTTAAACTTAATAATTAAGCTTTATGCTGATTCATCTTCATGGCAATATAGTCTTTGATAAGTGGAATGAGAACAGATGATGTCTGAATTTCACAGAGCAGGGAAGGATGAAATCTCTGGCTTATCTCCCTACTTTAGAACCCTGGGATGGCGATGTCATTGTATTTCTCAGCACTGCTAAAACTAGGGCAAAACCTCTGGGTCCTTGGGCCTATTGCTATTCCCGACACAATAATAAGGGCTTTTATCTCTAAATATGAGTATCTTTCTCATCTCTTTTCTTTGCTTTTTCCGTTCTCACTGGCCTAGTTTGGGTGCTGATTATCTTTCAGCTAAGCTATTGCCAATAGCTTCAACTCTGCTTTTCCTAACTTCCATTTCCACCTCAAATCTAAATCTACCTCCACAAAGTTCAGAGTAATCTGTCTCTCCTGCAGATGCGATCAGAACCTTTTTTCTGCTCAGAATTTCTCACTATCTTCTAGTTTCCATGAGCAGAAATCTGATTTCCTTGGCAGGGCCAGGATGACCCTGCACGGTCTGGCCTCCCTGTCTCCCAATTCACTCCTTCCCAGAGTATGCCCCAGGTTCCTGAGCCACTCATTGCAGGACATCAGATCCATCCCAGACCACTCTCCCTGTCTCAACACACACTTCTCTTCTCCATTCCTACCCCCAATTTGTCCTCTGGGTAAACTCCATTTTCTTCCAGTTCAGCTGAAACTTTAGTTCCCTGGAAAGTCTGTCTCATCCTCCCCACTCTCACATCAATGTCCCCTTTGTATACCTGTCTCCAATACCACAGCATATTGTAAATAATTATTTCCATTTCTCTCTTCAAGATCTGGTTTTGCTTTATGTTTTTTCTCTGTGTGTATGTTTGTGTCTAGCAAACACCACAGAACTTGGCATATAGAAGAAACTCAATAAAAATTTAATATATGAATGAATGAATGGATTTTGCCACCCTAAGGATCGTACACTGAATGAACTGAAAAATAAAGTATATTACAGCAGACTCATAGAATGGCAGATGTCCTAAACAGCACTCTGGCCTCAGAATCAGCCCTTAAGGCATTCGGATCTGGCTGAAGAGCCCATGAGAGTATTTCAGGCATGGAAAGCCAAGACACTCTGGCAAAAAAAAACAAGAAAAAAACAAAACAAAACAAACAAACAAACAAACAAAAAAAACAAACTAAATGAAAGATCTCTGTGAGTGAGATCCCAGTGGAAAGAAGGCCATCAAAGAAGGAGGTACCTTTCTCTGAAGGGAGGAGAGAACTTCCACTTTGACTACGACCTTGTCTAAATATGATCAGAGTCGGCGAACTCAAAAGGCTTCCATAGCCTTGGCAACTCATGACAAGAGCCTAGGGTGATTACTGATGCCATAAACAAGAGTGTCAATTTGTTAAGTCAACAACAGGAGTCACTGTGCACTTACCCCTCATGTAGGGTCTTTGTCCTTAGTGTGCTGTACATTGAGATTTAATGCTATAACTAGTACTCAAACAGTATTTTTCACTTTGTGTTTCTGTGTGGGTGCAAACTGTTGAAAGCTTTACTTAATATCTGCTAAACTGATCTTCTGCATATAAAGAGAATTGAGAATTAATCTTGATGTGAATGGAAGGGGAGAGGTAGTGGGAGAGGGGGAGGGTTGCAGGTGGGAGGGAAGTTATGGGGGGGGGGAAGGCATTGTAATCCATAAGCTGTACTTTGGAAATTTATATTCATTAAATAAAAGTTAAAAAAGATAAAATTAAAAAAATAAAGTATACTGAAAACCTCTGACATTGGATGTGGGGACAGGCAATGGGGAAGAAGCACGTGTCCCTGTGCTCCACTTGCTGTGACTGCAGGGATTTGGAAGCAGGCAACAGTAGGATGGGGCCCTGGAGGAGGAGGGAGAGAGAAGGAGAGAAGATAGGGCTGGAACGCATTGGTAGTTAATGAGCCTGGAGTCATTAAGGGCATCCCAGCTTACCCATTGCTGCATTTTTATGGTTTTGTTATCTGTTATATTGACCATGGTTCCCTTCCATGGGATATTTCTGCTCAGTTTCCTGATATTCTCAAACTCCATTCTCAATTGTATTGTAAGACACTTAGAGGAGCCCTCAGGAGGGTGTATCTTGTAGTCATGGCTGTCTACAGAGCGGAAGAGCCTTAAACACGACAGACATGTGACTAGCTTGTTGGTGGCCTCTGCTCCCAGGAATACACTTTCCAGACCTGTTAGCTTTTAGTCAAGACTTACATATTTTCCTAATGATGGGAATTATTAAATCATTCTGAAATATTCTTATTTTTTATTTTTTATTTTTTTGACAGGCAGAGTGGACAGTGAGAGAGAGAGACAGAGAGAAAGGTCTCCTTTGCCGTTGGTTCACCCTCCAATGGCCGCCGCGGACGGCGCGCTGCGGCTGGTGCACCGCGCTGATCCGATGGCAGGAGCCAGGTGCTTCTCCTGGTCTCCCATGGGGTGCAGGGCCCAAGCACTTGGGCCATCCTCCACTGCACTCCCTGGCCATAGCAGAGAGCTGGCCTGGAAGAAGGGCAACCGGGACAGAATCCGGCGCCCCAACCGGGACTAGAACCTGGGGTGCCGGTGCCGCAAGGTGGAGGATTAGCCTAGTGAGCCGCGGTGCCAGCCCTGAAATATTCTTATTGTAATACAAAATTACTTATTTTGGTAACCCCTACTTAAACCTGTAAAACCACATCAAATTGGAAACATCGAAAATATTTTACTGCTACTCTTTGAGATTAAGATACAAAACTTTCAATTGACATAAAAACATATATTTGCAGGACATCATGTGATGGCTCAAAATATCTATAAAGGGAACTCCAAAAAATTCATAGAAAGTGGAATTAAAAATAATTTGTTGTAAAATATTTTGAAATCCACGCATACAAAGGATTTCCAAAAAGTTCATGGAAAATGCCTTTTCTGAAAAAAAAAAAACCTATGTATGGATTTCAACATTTTTGTCACCAAAATAAATTGATTCTTTAATTCCATTTTTCCAAGAAATTCTGCTGTACTCTCATACATTCTGTAATGTTGAAATCAGGGTAAGCAAACACCTCCTCAAACATTTGTCATTTCTTTGTAGTGAAAACATTCAATATCCTTTCATCTAGCTTTTTTGAAATACATAGTAAAAATATCACAATCTATAGTCCCTCTAATCTGCAATAGCACACGAGAACTCCCTTGAGATTCCCTTACCGAATTGTTTTTCCTTCTTTTTGAAATCTTGTTGACAGTTAAGACTGATTAGGCGATGCCAAAATATCTGACTCATACAAAAGTCAATTCCAGTCCGCATATGGTTAAATGAGAAAAATATTTGAATGCTGTACTTCTCAACTGGTTTGTTTGGTATTCTCATTGACAGGGTCTTATGCAATTGACGAACCGGTGTGGACGGTATGCCTAATGGCCTACTTCCTACTGAAAAGCATCATCTGAGTTATTTTCAACTGTTACCTTCAAACTGTAGGGCGGCAAGATGCTCCTCCTTTATTCTGAGCCTCAGTTCATTTTTCTTTTCAATTTCTGCGATTTCCTCTGCTGTGAACACTACAGGAGCAGCTTCAGCTACAGGTGGTGACTTACCTGAAAGGGCGAGGAAATATGCAGAGTCCATCACCTATATAGGTGTGTTTGTATATGGTGTTTGGACAAAATGAACACAAAGCAGAATTTATAGAATTATAAACCTCCAGTGCTTTGGAAATGAGGAAGCTTCTTCACTCTAGTGTGGATGATGAAATATTTACAGCTCTTCTTGAGAATTGTTCATGTGACACCTGGGCTAGATTCATATGGAAACGTCCCAAGCTGCATGGTCTTATAAAAATCACAAGATGCATGGCAAGTGCAGGGATGGTTACAGACTTTAAAGATGGTGGAATTCAGAGTTTGAGGATGAAATTGTAACTTCCACCTTACCGCAGATGCTGTCAGTCATCTGCAGAAGCACTCATTTTAAGGGACCGCTTGTATTAGCAAACTGTTCATCAAGAAAACATCTGAGACTAACATCAAGAAGATGTGGCTGAAATGTAGGTGATGGTCAAGAATCTGTCAACTAATTATCTTTTCATTAGCAACTACCTTCAAGTGCTTCAGGAATTACACAAGAGAATTACGAAACAAGAATTTGTTAGCATTTATCAGAGGATATAACCCTGGTGATGGCAGTGTCATTCCAACTGCAAGCCCAGTTTACAGAATTCTATTCAGCTCAACAAATCTTGTGAAAAAGACATAAATGCGAATAGAGAAAATCTGCTAAGAGACATTCGCTGCAATGATAGATGTGTGTATAGTGCACCCTTCGATAGCTCAGCTGGTAGAGCGGAGGACTGTAGGACAGATGGTATCTGATAGATGTGTGTAAAACAGATAAAGAAGAGATTAATCATTCTGGATTTCTATTTCATCTGTGTAGTTAATACACTGGACTCAGCCAGTTATAGTTATTTCATTAATGTAAATGGGAGCATTTTCTTCAAATGCTATGCATTTATTTTATTTTGACCATCTGAGATGGACACTAAAGTTGCATATTATTTTTTATTTTTAATAAAATTATTGAGTTATTAATTTTTACTTTGCCTTACGTGCCACGAACTTACCCTTCTCCATCCCCAGTGCTTTCCCATCACTCCTACTCATAGCTGCCTAAATGTACTCCACCTGAGAAGTGTTCTGTGAAGTGGAGTGACATGACCTTGTTCTCTGGGCACCTGTACTTTCCCAATCAAGAAGCAATCATCGAGGGTGGGTGTTTAGCCTAGCAGTTAGGACACTCACATCCCCTAGCAGAGTACATGAGTTGAATACCTGGCCCCAGTCCCTAATTCCAGCTTCCTAGTAATGCAGACCCTAAGAAGCAGTAGTGATGACTCAGATGGTTGGGTTCCGCCTCCCCCCGCCCCATGCTGCAGATCTGAATTGAATTCCTGACTCCAGATTTGTCTAGGATCTGGCCAGTGTGGACATTTGGGGAGTGAACCCACTGGCTAGGATTTCTCCCCCTGCCTCTCAAATAAAATAAATAAATAAATAACCCACAATGATTGATTCACTGTCTATCTCTGCTATTAGTTACAGTTCTATCGGGGCAGAAGCCAGGGTCTTGATTTTTGTTTTTGTTTTTAATCTGCTCTTGTGTCCTTGGCACCCAGTATAGAGTGTTTCCCATAGCAGGAAAGTGTCTTTGGAGCTTATTTTAAACTAGATAACATCTGTCTATTTGGATAAGCCAAGTTAGGCAGAATCAGTATACAATACAACTCACCAGCTAACACTACAGCTCATAGAAGCCTGGATATCTAGGCTGCACCTGGTGGCCAAGTGGCTAAAGCATCTGGTTAAATGCTCGCTTTTTCCCAACCAGAGGCTGAAGCATCCAGAGTTCTAGGTGCTAAAACAATGAATACCTTTTCCATGTTTGTCTTCCTTTTTATTCTTGGGTGGCTCATTTTCCTTTTTGCCTTTTTTGTTTGTACTCATCTGGGGAGATTTCTCTTTTGACTCTGCTGGTTGGTTTTCTTTGTCTTCTTCTATGAGCCTCTGATGAATTTCAGCAGCCACCTGGTTGTATAATGGCAACGTTTCAGTGAAATGTGTAACAGTTGGGGGCTGGTTAGCACTAGATTGAACCCCCATTCCTCTGTAGCCACTCTTATTGAGCAGACAGTCTTTATGAAACACACTGCAATGTCTTACTGGCCCTGTCCCCAAACACAGCTTTGCTGCAGCCGTCTGTGGGAAGGCTGCTTTTGTTCACAGTCCCAGTTTGGAAAGCATCCTCACCCTGCCTGCAATGCTTCCTCATGGCCAGCTCCAGACCATGGTAGGGCCATGGTTATGCAAAAATTCCTTTCTTTTTTAATCTCAGACTCTATGGATTTAACATCTGTGATGGTTCTAAGTTCCTGCTATTGCTAGACTTCCAATCATGCTTTTCCCTATTTCACTGCCCTAATTTTTTGTTTCATAATTAATCCCACATTGAGTGTTCTTCTGACAGTTTCCTCTGATCACCCCCACTTCCCATGAAATTCTAATACTGCACAACTGTATTTGTTTATGTACTGTGTGACTGTGCTTTACACATAAAGTGAGAGAACTTTCTTCACTCTTCCCACCAAACAGTTTTTGGGAAGGTGTGCCCTACATTAATTGGGTAGTGATCACTTGAATCCTGGGTTTCTACTCTATTCTAGCAATAGACACCATCCCCCCAATTCTGTGTGTTTAGGATGATGACCCATTGTCCTAACCCCAGAGTGCTTAGCCTCCTCCTCTAGGCTGCCTTTTAGCTTCTCTCTACTCTAACAGGCCCCTCCTCTCACTCTCACAAGTGTCTTACTTAGAGAGGTAGTCATACTGTTCCCCTGTGCTGGCCACTGCTTAGAGAGGCTCTATTAGCCTGCAGGGGTCTCTCCTCCTCTCCTCTGGGCTGGCTTTGTACTTAAACCTTGGCTTGTGACAACATGGATGATCAACATCATTATGCTAAGTGAAATACGCCAGGCAGGATGAATAAATACTGCACGGTCTCAGATTCATCTGTGCTCTCCAAAAATACTGAGCTCACAGAAATAGAGATGAAAGGTGAGTGAGTGTGATAGGGAAAAGAGAGATGTTTGTTAAAGGATACAAAGTTTCAGGCTGACAGGAGGAATAAGTCCTGGTGATCTACTGCACAGCATGGTGACTGTAAGTTAATAGCAATGTATTGCTTATTTAAAAATTGCTAAAAGAGTGGGTTTTAAATGTTCTCATTGCAAAAAATAATAAGTACATGAGGTGATGGCTATGTTATTTAGCTTAGTTTGATCATGCTACAGTGGATGCATGCATCAAAATATCATACTGCATGGCATGAATATACAGTCATAATTTATAAAATAAAAAAAATGTATATCTAAAATTCCAGTCTCAGGGACTTACAAAAACTCCAGCCCCAGGGCCTGTGCTGCTGGAGTCATGTCTGCAGCTACAATACTGGCTCTTCTGAGCTAAGTCCACTGACTCAGGAGAGGTACAGTGTGTTAGGGAGAGTAGCCCTGAGGAGTGAGAGCTGAGAACAGAATCCCAAAGGAAGAAACAACACACACACACACAAACATGCACACACACAAACATACATGCACATGCACAAGCACATGCACACACACACACTGGGACAGTAGTAGAAGCACATGGATGAAAACTTTCTATTTTTTTTTGACAGAGTTAGACAGTGAGAGAGAGAGACAGAGAGAAATGTCTTCCTTTTCCGTTGGTTCACTCCCAAAGTGGCAGATCCGAAGCCAGGAGCTTCCTCCTGGTCTCCCATGCAGATGCAGGGCCTAAGGACCTGGGCCATCTTCCACTGCACTCCCGGGCCACAGCAGAGAGCTGGACTGGAAGAGGAGCAACCGGGATAGAATCCGGCGCACCAACCGGGACTAGAACCCGGGGTGCCGGCGCCGCAGGTGGAGGATTAGCTTAGTGAGCCGCAGAGCCGGCTGGATGAAAACTTTAAACTCTCAATAAAGCAACTCCTGATGATGTGGGAGTCATAGTGTTTATTCTTTTATCTCAATGCATACCGGGTCCAAACCTGGTATTATTTCCGGGGAGAATGCAGAGCGAGGATGGGAGGAAAAAGAGTGGAATGATGGGGGTGAAGAGAAACAGGATAAGGCACATTCTCTACCTAGAACAACCTATAGCCTGGTAGGTGAGGCACAGCAATCAGAGTTCCTGCCTTCTCCAAATTCCTGATACACTTCCTACTTCTGGCCCAGCAAGTAGCTGTCCCTAACAGTGACAGAAGTGTTAAGTCTCACCCTATCCTCCAAGGGGCTATTTTAATATATAAGATTTATTTTATTTATTTGAAAGGCAGAGTTACAGGAGAGAGAGGGAGAGACAGAAAGAGAGAGAAGACTTCCACCCTCTAGTTCACTCCCCAAATGACTGCAATGGCCTGGGGTTAGGTTGAACCCAGGGTCAGGTTGAAACCAGGAACCCATAGAACTGGTCCTCCTATGGAATCCCAGCACTGCAGGAAGCCGCTTGACCTGTTGGGCCACAGTGCCAGCCCCAACAACAATTTCCTCCCATGGGCTTTAAAGCTCCCTAGAGTAAAGCCAGGGCTGTTTCTTAGTATTCTCTGTAGCTTTGTGTACATTTGCCTTGCTCACAGGGGATTTGCCTATTAATTGACAACGTTTCTTTTAAATAATCACATTCTTCAGAGTGCATCCACAGCTTCTTCAATATCAACAGCACCTCGGAAGGACATGAAAAGATTTCCGAGAGCAAGCCAATATTTTTTCTTAGTTTTTTTTTTTTTCTCCACCAGATGCCCTTTTGATAAAAACAGATTTCATACTATACACTGTACATTCAAATTCTTGGTAAAGCTGAAAGCAGGCTTGTTAACATTCCCACCTAAATTGCAAGCAATTCAGTTTTGAATCTGTTCTTGCAAAACAGGGTAGGTTAGCAATTTCGTTCAAAATTGGATCTTCCTCCTTGGTAAACAATCCTGTGATGATGATGATGACCATAATTTTCATTTTTCTGGTCCCCTTCCCTCAAAGACCTCTGGGTCTGTTCCAAAAATTAACATGATTTTCAATACATCAGCAATCTAGCTTGCAAGGCTGGGGAGAACTTTAGCCATGATGCCTTGACATTGTGAGAGTTAAGTATAACTTCTGTGAAATCATTACATGCCTGCCTATTAGAAGAAAGTTTGGGTAAAAATTAACACAGCACACTAAATGGATAGCTCTTGGTAAAACTGCTGTGAGGAACAGCACCTGCCCTCGGTGCAGTGCTCTCATTTCAATTGCACGGATCTCAGCTGTGCGGTTTGCCCCACAACAATTTACTGGATCACACCTGTCTCATCTGGAACACAAAGTTCCCTTATGATCATGTGACATCCAAGTGACAAAAATCTACCAGAAGTATATAAAATCTGGATTCTAATATACATAAACATATTAATTAGCAAAAACTTACTTTCTGTCTCTCTCTCTCCTTCTCTGCTTCCTATGTGGATTTCAAAAGTCCATAAGGAAAATGGTACAATTTGGCATAAATTTCTTAAAACAATGATATGCTATAACTACAGCTTCTAAAACCCTTTCATATACATTCTGTCATTTGATATTCTCAACCAGTCAAGAATATCTCCCTGTTATAGTAAGGAATTGAAGATTTAGTGAGGTTAACTGATTTTCCTAAAACCACACTGCTTAATCCAGAGGTACAGCCAATGCTGTTTGTGCTTCATGATCCTCTCTTTCTGAAAATATCAGATTTTGAAATGTCATTTACTCAAGTAATTAAAAATTCACTCATTTATTTATTTGAGAAGCGAAATGACAGCAAGAGAGACACAAAGAGAGGGCTCCCATCAGCTGATTCACTCTCCTAATGCCTGGGGCTGGGCCAGGACCAAAGCTGGGAGCAGTCACTCAATCTGGGTTTACCACACGGATGAGGGAAAGACATTTATTTGAGTCATCACTGCTGCGTCCCAGTGATTTTCTTTAGCAGGAAGCTGGAGACAGGAGCCAGAGCCAGGAATTCAATGCAGGTATTAGACCTGGGTATCTCAGCTGGTGTCTTAACCACCCTCCCCTAACCAGGTAATTGTAATAGGATACGTAAGACTTAAATATTAGGTTTATGTAGCCCAATTAACAATAAGGATAATGCATCTTTTTCCTAGAGCTTCTAAATCTGCTTTCCTACCCTCTGGTGCTTTGCACTTGTCGGGGTGTTTGTGGTGATCGTCATTGTCATCCCCATCAGCATCAACAGTAGAGCCGTAGCAGCATCCCCAAACTGCATTAATGGTTTAGTACTGTTAGATATGGGCATTATACTGGGTCAGTGTATATAAAAAAGCTTCAGAATCTGAAAGTATTCAAGAAAACAAGTAGTGAGAAAAAATACAAACAAAAACTGATATACTGAGAGCAAAGAGTGGGAAAGACAATAACTGCTACAATGATTAAAAGAACACAGGACCATAGAAGCTGGGGCTTCGGGAAACAGGTAACTGCTCAGAAGCCAAGGCAGGAACTGGTTGTGAAGACTTAGGAGAGCACAGGATTTACTATAGAAGAAAGGAACCTCATGTTTCAGGAGGGTAAAATGGCACTAACCAGGCCCTAAGGGAGGTAATGCTCAAGGAAGGTGCAGTAGTTAATAGCCAGGCAGTTTGTTAGATGCTTTGAAGAACTGGTGCTGGCCAGAGTGTGGAGGGCTGAGCTTCAAGTTTGGGGTTCTGTGGTGAATACAGATCTCACACTACCTTGTTCTCCTTTTGGGTTCATAATGAAAGATCATTTCAATATCCTTAGAAGCTTCATGTACCTTTTAGAAACAATCTAACAATCATATTATCTTATCTGGATCATTTTGTCAATTTAAGCTTAATGTAGTTGCAGATATATCTGGGATCTAAATCAGCCATCTTGCTATATGCTTCCAATTTGTACTGCTTGTTCTAAAAATTTTCTGTCTTCCTTTCTTTACTTCTTGCAGAAAAAGAATTAAATTATTTAATTTTCTTC